AACTAGTGTTTTCTGAGTCGGTGTCGCAAGGATGAAGTTGTCGATCCTGACTCGCCATCTCTTCATTAGACGCGCCTTTAGAGATAAGTGCATCTTTACAGATTAGGATCATAATGAAAGAGTTTTTGATTTGTTTTATTTCATTATGTAGTAATTAAAGCTTTCTATAGATATATTTATCATGTCTGTGAGGCATGTATTCGCTGAGTTTCAGTTCATTTTTGTGAAGCGCTCCTGTTGAAGAAGAGACGGCAGAAAGCGCATCATGTTTGATTTCTTTATTTTATAAAAGCACAACGTTTTGTTGATATTGTGAGTGCACACAAATAAAAGTAGACCCTTTACAGTTATGAATGATGCATTACTCTTACCTTTATGAGCAAAAATGACAGTGTATCCACTGAAAAAAAATGCAAGTGATCGCGCTGGCGTCTCTATGTCCTGCAAAGCACGCTTCAGCTTCCACTCTCCACACAAACTATTGGATACATACAGTGCACATTTATCTAGGTTTAACGTTTAAACATTGTTATATGCTTGAACTGTTTTATATCTATAGATTTTTTTTGTCAAGTCGTGATGATTTGAGAAGGCTAAATTGATCAAGCATATGCTCACTGTCTGCCGCTGGCCACTTGGTCGTTACTTTAAATGCGTAACGTTAATTAGGCTATGTGACTACTGCTCATGTCTGAAAATAATATATGAAAAACAAAATTATTTTACATAAAAACATTAGGCTATAGCTTATTTATTTAGTACATTTTTAAATTAATGTAAAAACTAAAATGAATTGTGAAACTGAAAGTGTTTTTTTAAAATTGTGTTAAGCACGGTGGGCCGCATTTGAATTAGTGACGGGCTGCGGGTTGAGAACCACTGTGCTATACAGATTATTTCAAAGCAGCTTTACAGTGTTAAACAAGAAAATAGTGATTCAGTGATACAAGCAAAATTAAATTCTGCTGTAAAGCAGCTCTAAAAAGACAATAGTAAACAGTTATTATTCATTTGAAATTATATAATGTTAAAGTGTGTATGTGTGCTTATTTAATTTGTATTTCAGTTGTGAAGACATTTACCTTTTTTTTTTTTTTTCATTTCGTGTTACTGCAATAAATATTTGTGAGGAAACGCATTCAAGAACCTTCTGCATGATGTCTACTGAATGAAACTTTACCCAGCAGCATCCTTATCAATGACAGCCAATATTGCTCTCTTCTCTCAGTCTGGATCTGGAGGATATGGAGAGCATCTCCCCGTTCAGGAAGCGCTGTATCATCCCTGTGCTAGGTCTGCTGGAGAACTCTCTGTACGAGAACTCACTCGTGCACAACGTCCTGTGTCTGCTGCTGCAGCTGCTCAACACCTGCCCAAAGCTGGCTGACATCCTGCTGGACCACGGCTTGCTCTACGTGCTCTTCAACACGCTGTCCACCCTCAACGGCCTGGAGAATGGGTAATGCACCGTATTTGACGTCAGTAGCTACGTTTACATGGACACTTTTTGCTTCCATCGGAATAAATTCATTCTGATTGACTAATCCGAACGTAGTGTTTACATGAACACTAAATAAAGTGGTCGGGTTGATATGTGTGTTTATATGTATAAAAACTTAATTTCTTTGCGACTGAAGAAAGAAAGGCATGAAGATCTTTGGTGACATGGGGGTGAGTAAATTATCAGGACATTTTTATTCTGGAAGTGGAGTAATCCTTTAATCTTTTGACATGCACACACTGCATGAATATACAGAGTTTCCCGCTGTTGTCGCATATAGTTTTAAAAAGCACACTTGGTATTTATCTACTTCGGGTCTAAATTGTGCTTCTAGTCCTATTACGATCGGATTAGTAGGGGCCATGTAAACGCAGCTAGTGTTGGGGAAACTACTTTGAAACTGTAGTTTTCCAGGCTACATGATTCTGTTGCTCTGTAGGATTCCTCCAAATGACTACAAGCTGGTGGTGTGTGACATTCAGCAGCTGCTGGTGGCCGTTACCATCCACTCCTGCAGCTCCTCGGGATCTCAGTACTTCCGCATCATTGAAGACCTGATCACCCTGTTGGGCTACATGCAGACCAGCAAAGTTCGGCACACACAGGGTAAAGAAGACTAATACTTTTATACTACAATGATATGTGACGTGTCATTCAAACGAAATCTGTTCTCTGTTGTCGCTTCAGAAATGGCCACAGCACTGCAGTTCCGTGTGATCCAGGCAGCCATCGATTTCATTAAGACCACGGCCAATCAGGACCCTCAGAAATCCAGCAGCTACGTTCACGTGCCCACTTCACCGCATCACGCTTTACAGCAGAAACGCAAGAGTATCGCAGGTGAGCAGGTCTGGAGGTCAAAGGGGATGGTATTTGTCTTGTTTATGTGATGGTTTAGGTTATTGAAATATCTTTAAAAGCATAGTTCACCCTAAAATGAAACTTTTGTCATTATTTACTCACCCTCATGTTGGTCAGTGTATCATTAATATACTATTACAGTTTTTATTGATATTTAGCATTAGCTTTTCTCTTTATCTTTTCTCTTTTTTTCCATTTTCATTTAATTCTTAGTATTTTTGTTGTGCATTTGTCATTTTTGTTAGCTCTATATGTATCTACATAGTTTTTATTCATTTATATTTGATTTTTATTTTTTTTACTATTTTAATTGAGAAATGTTTCTTTGTAAACTAGCTGAAATTCATTCAAAAGTTTTTTTCTTTTCTTTTTCATTTAAAAGTATTTTTATATATTTTATTATTTTTATTATTATAGTTTTATTAAATGTTATGCTATATTTTTGTTTTAAATGATGTATGTGTGTTTTGATGTTTAACCAGTTTTGACCCAAAAGTGATCTGTGGCTTTACACATGAAAGTATTATTATTATTATTATTATTATTATTATTAATTTAGTTGTTTGTTTTTGTGTGTGTGTGTGTGTTTACATCTGTTAGTTAGATTTGTCTTTACTATTTTAATTGAGAAATGTTTCTTTGTAAACTAGCTGAAATTCATTCAAAAGTTTTTTTCTTTTCTTTTTCATTTAAAAGTATTTTTATATATTTTATTATTTTTATTATTATAGTTTTATTAAATGTTATGCTATATTTTTGTTTTAAATGATGTATGTGTGTTTTGATGTTTAACCAGTTTTGACCCAAAAGTGATCTGTGGCTTTACACATGAAAGTATTATTATTATTATTATTATTAATTTAGTTGTTTGTTTTTGTGTGTGTGTGTGTGTTTACATCTGTTAGTTAGATTTGTCTCAAGTTACTTCTGTAAAACTCATTTGTGACCCTGGACCACAAAACAATACATTTTTCGAAATTGAGATGTATACATCATCTGAAAGCTGAATAAATAAGCTTTTCATTGATGTATGGTTTGTGTTTGGATAGGACAATATTTGGCCGAGATACAACTATTGAAAATCTGGAATCTGAAGGTGCAAAAAATCTAAATATTGAGAAAATCGCCTTTAAAGTTGTCCAAATGAAGTTCTTAGCAATGCATATTACTAATCAAAAATTAAGTTTTAATATATTTGCAGTAGGACATTTACAAAATATCTTCATGGAACATGATCTTTACTTAATATCCTAATGATTTTTGGCATAAAAGAAAAATCAATGATTTTGACCGATACAATGTATTTTTGTCTATTGCTACAAATATACCCCAGCGACTTAACACTGCTTTTGTGCTCCAGGGTCACATTTAGCCTCTTTCCTGTATCTTTTAGGACTGATTTTTGTCGGTAAATTTGAATATGCACACACAAAGAGACTATAAACAGACAAAAGATAGGTATCTGTATACATTTGTTATGCGTTTCATCTCCATTCATCTTGTCTTAACCATCAGCCCTGGATGTTACACTTCACCTTTCATGTGTTTCTGTTGTATTATCACCTCCCCTCACACTCCCAAGGTTCAATGGGGCTGAAAGACTCCATAATTCCCCGTATTCCCCGGCAACACTACTGTTCGTACGGACTGATTCCTCTGCCCTCCCCGTTCAGCTTCCTGTCCCAGGATTCCCCCCTCCCTTCCCCTACCGGCGCAAACTCCTACATGTTCCCCTCAGACGCAGGTAGCCATCGACCCCATCCGCAAAACAAAACAAAAAAAACAGGCCACAACATCCTGGCTCTCTCATGGATGTTGAGCGCGTGCAGTGAAGTGATTAAAGCGTGTCTGCTGCTCATCCGCCCAGTGTCCTGGACTACTGGTGCCTGTGTGTGTTATCCTCAATTACCCAGAATAAATCAACTCAGAGTTGCACCAGGACTCGAAGACTTTCCCTGCAACTCCGTCTGTTGATTTATCATTCGCACTCTTTCTCATTTACACCTGCCTGTAACATCCATCTTTTTTCAAAAATAAATTAATACTTTGATTCAGCAAAGACGCATTCAATTAATCAAAAGTGACAGTAAAGACATTTATAATGTTACAAAAGATATCTATTTCAAATAAATGATGCTCTTTTGAACTTTCGATTCATCAAAGAAACCTGAGAAATAAAATGCATCCACGAAAATATTGGGCAGCACAACAGTTTTCAACATTGATAATAATCAGAAATGTTTCTCGAGCAGAAAATCAGCATATTAGAATGATTTCTGAAGATAATGTGACACTGAAGACTGCAGTAATGATGCTGAAAATACAGCTTTGATCACAGAAATACATTTGTTTAATATCTATTCACATAGAAAACTGCTATTTTAAAATTTAATATTTTACAATGTTGCTGTATTTTTGCTCAAATATTTGCAGCTTTGATGAGCAGAAGAGACTTCTTTCAAAAAACTGTACTAGGATGCATGTTGGATTTCAGGTGTAAATGACAACCTGCCTAGACTAACCACTTAATCATCACTTAAGGCGGATGTTAATATCTGTGTCTGTCTGTCTGTCTCTTGATCCCTATGTGTTTGTGTGATTTCTGATCCTCTGCTCTTTACGAACAGTTCCTTTAGTTCAGTAAGCATGTTGTTGTGTGTTTTTATCAGGTCGGAGGCGGTTCACGGTGGCCCAGTCAGACTCGCTGCTGACGCGAATGCGCTCGGTGGCCAGCGATGAGCTTAACCAGATGATGCAGCGCAGGATGAGTCAAGAAAACCCCATCAGAGCCAGCGAGACGGAGCTGGTCCAGAGACTGCAGAGACTCGTGGTTCTGGCTGTTAACAGACTCATCTATCAAGGTACAGAAGACAGACATCAAATCTGTGATTAATATCTGCTCATAAACATTATCATCGGCTTTGTGCAGCCATTACAAAACACTTCAATGCAATTTACATGCTTCTGAAAGTATAGGCAGTCTAGCATGGTACTTTTTCTTAGTGATAACAAGAGGCAGTCCATGTTGACTGAATGCATTTGTTCCATGCTTACTATTTGTCTGTATTCTCCAGACATCAGCCAGGATTTCTTTGACTTCCTGAACTTTCCCGAGTCTCCTGATCACTCGATGTCCATGCCGTTACCTGGCGAGCAGACGACCGATGAGAATGGCTCCACGCCGTCCACCCCGATCCCACCGGGCAACATGAAGAGCTTCCGCAAAGATATTCTCAAACTAATGATGGAGGGCATAAAGATAGGTTTGGTGAGTTGCTTACAGTAGACATCAGCATTAAAATTCAAGTGACCCTTTTTTTTTTTGTTTGTTACTGGTTTTATTTGTTTGATTCAATGCACATTATTCCAGAGACATCAAAAATTTAAAGTGTCCAAAATTATCTTTGAATTGTCTTCATTTTGGGGCTTCTCTCAGCAAATATTGTTATATTTGATTATTTATGATTAATTACTGAAATAAAATAACTTGAAGTAAAAATGCACAACACTTGAGCATGTGATAAATGTGTAGTTATATGTTAACGTTAACGTCTCTCTCGATGCTTCAGTGTCACATGTTTTTTGTGATGGTTCGTCTCCTCAGGGCAGCACCGGTCGTGGTGGTGCTCCTCGCCAGCAGTGGAAGCGAATCCTCTGGTCCTGTCGCGACACGTTCAGGGTTCAGATCGGTCGCATGCTGGTGCACACGCTCAGCAAGAAAAAGAGAAATATTGTCTTGACAGCTAGCTGAAATAAAATAACTTGAAGTAAAAATGCACAACACTTGAGCATGTGATAAATGTGTAGTTATATGTTAACGTTAACGTCTCTCTCGATGCTTCAGTGTCACATGTTTTTTGTGATGGTTCATCTCCTCAGGGCAGCACCGGTCGTGGTGGTGCTCCTCGCCAGCAGTGGAAGCGAATCCTCTGGTCCTGTCGCGACACGTTCAGGGTTCAGATCGGTCGCATCCTGGTGCACACGCTCAGTCCCGCAGTTCCTCTGGAGGACAGGAAGGAGGCGCTAGAGTTTGTCCACGAGCAGAGCTACTCCGAGATCCTCAGAGAAAGCCTGAGTCCCGGCCTCGAGGTGAGGACGCTGCCGTCTGACAAGCTGATATGATGACAGAAATGGCTTTTTGTTTTTACATGCCAACCAGAGACGGTGTGACATTTTGCTTTGGTTATTTGCTGACAGTTATCAGATCTGTGTATCCAATCAAAGCACAGCTCACATGCACACTTCCTCTGTTGGGAGGAAGACAGTGACATTTCACTGCGTTGCTGCTGACATACAGTAAATAACCCACAGAAACATCTTCATGATACTGTTTCCATAGCAGCAGTACCGTCCTCTCCAGCGCTGCTTTCTCCATTATACTGTAGACTGGCACTGAAAAGACCATTAACCCTCAGAGACCCAGCATAGCAGAATTGCAGCATTTGCATAAAGCAATTAACTAACACCTCATTTTGACTAAATGTGGGTAAAAACTACACAAAACAGTAGAGGAAGACAGTGACATTTCACTGCGTTGCTGCTGACATACAGTAAATAACCCACAGAAACATCTTCATGATACTGTTTCCATAGCAGCAGTACCGTCCTCTCCAGCGCTGCTTTCTCCATTATACTGTAGACTGGCACTGAAAAGACCATTAACCCTCAGAGACCCAGCATAGCAGAATTGCAGCATTTGCATAAAGCAATTAACTAACACCTCATTTTGACTAAATGTGGGTAAAAACTACACAAAACAGTAGCTGACACTCTGAAGTTTGTCAGAACAAAATTTTTGTGGGGAAAAAATGTGATATTAATGGCCACAGCTTGCTGAAGGGATGAATGAACTAACACAAAATGGACAAAATAGTCACACAGAACACTTTTGGATCAAGTATTTGACACAAAACTAAGCATTGCAGAAAGGTCTATTCAATGAATGGTACAAAAATCAGTTCTTTTTTTAAGGTCTTTTTTGGGCTGTCATTGTTTTCTCAGTGATATAATACTGGATTTGGTTCATGAAAATGAATCCAACTTTCCAACTAACCATTTTTGCTATTGAAGGTTAAATTAGAAACTCTTAAAACATGTGCCTTTTTTTTATTGGTTAAAGAAATAAACAATTACACATCTCAAGACACAACTTAATTTAAACTTCTAATTATTACATAATTTAGAAGTAATGTACAACATGAAGACTGAAAAAACAGCAAGATTAATACATGTATATTTTAATTATGGGATGTTAAAATTACTTGCGTTTAAATATGCTTTATATACATATTTATTAAAATATTTTAATGGTCAAATAGTGACAGTTCTTTTAATTACTGTATCCTTACTGGATGAAAAATAATTTTTTACAAATACATTTCAATGCAAACTTGCAGTACTGTATCAAAATAGTGGTGAAACTTTGCAACCATAAATGCCTATTGTTGCAATCAATGCAAATTTTAATGAAAGCAATATCGGGCTTGCTTTATTGAATAAAGCAAAATCGGGTTTGTAAATGTGTTTTAGAAATGAATTTATGTTGTTGGTCAGTATGTTTTTTTTAATGGCCAGTTCTGGTATCTACAGTGGAGGGCAACCAATAGCAGAGATGCTTATATATTATAAATACCACTAATTCTAATTCCTCAAAATCCTTCCTGTTGGTGTTGTTTTTGTTATTAGCACGGGCCCAAGCTGGCTCTCTATCTGTACGAGCTGTTACACGATCACAAAGACGCCCTGAGTAAAGAAGAGCAGGCAGCTGCCAACACCTTCATGACGGCGCTGAAACTCTGCGGCCACCGCTGCATCCCACCCAGCGCTCCCGTCAAACCAGACCTCCTCAAAGCCATCAAAGAGGTGCGCATGCCATACACAAACCATCAGGTTATATGCTGTGTTGCTTAAACAAGCTCAAACAGTGTAGGGAGAATGTGTGCTTGATTCACAGGGAATGCATGAACTTCAATGCAATGTACTTGCGATTTTATATGCTATTCAAAGTTTTAACATGAACAGTCTAACTTAATGTGATTCATATTTTTCAGTCATTCTTAAATGGAACATGCATTTAAAATATCTTTGCATAGTTTATTATTAACTGTTTGCATCTATTTGGTTTTATTTAAATAATCATTTTTTCAAAATGTGTTTTTTCATATTGCTTAGAATCAGCATAAATCTGTTCATTGTGAAAACAATTAAATATATTCAGTTAAAAAGCATGAGCATGGTTAAAATATCTGTGGAAGATTTGATAATAAATATATAAACTTGGTTATTGTGTATTTAAAACACATTCAGTTTATTAGTACCATTACAGAAATCTGACCCGTTTCATTTATATATGACTGAGAAATATGCATCACATTAAATTGATTAATTTGTTAAATCTGTGTAATCCAAACGGATGGAAATTTTATATGCAATTTAAATGCATACATTTTAAATTTAGACCTAAATGTAAATATTTGCAAAACTAGAGCATATGCGTAGTAATTCATATATTCATTTGTTTGTCTTTTACTTTTATTTGCTGAGATTGGTTGCACTGGTTTCTTGAGTAATAAAGGTCATATTCTGCACTTTTGTAGCATTTTAGTTTCCCCCTGAGGTCTGCGTATAATAATAGTCCAGGTTTGCATGAGCCCTTGTTTTGTTTTTGTTTTTTGCAGTTTACAGTATACCTGTATTGTGAATGCTAGTAATATGACTGTAGTTCAAAACTGCTCAGCTGAAGTGTTTGCATTTTATTAATGTTCAACTGAAGCCGTTTTACTATTCCTTATTAAGGAGCAACTGAAATACGAGTCAGAGGCAAGAACCAGCAAAGGAGCCTGGGAAAAGAAGCTGGCCAACACGCAGAGGAGGTGAGCGCTCTGAGAGAAACACAACATCTCAAAATAACACGCTTCTTTGGCGTTTTTCCTAAGCTCTTCCGTTCTCTATTTCAGCTTGTTGCAGAGGCTGGATGGGAAGTCGAAGGACATCTCGAAGATCGCCGCTGACGTAACCCAGAACGTGTCTCTCGGGCAGGGCATGGAGCGGAAGAAGGTCATGCAGCACATCAGAGGCCTTTACAAGACCGACTTGAGCGCCAGCCGCCACTGGCAGGAGCTCGTGCAGCAGCTCACTCACGACCGGTCAGCATCGCTCACTGGAGCGATACAGCTAAACTTAGTGGTGCAACGGATCACAAAACCCATGGTTTGGATCATACTACAGATTTTGAGTCCCAGATCGGATAATTTTTTGGAGTTTGAAAAGTTTGCTTTTTTTTTATTACTAAAAGCTTTAAGTACTTCTATACACCAGCAGAAACTACTAGCATAACTAATAAAGTCAGTAATAAAACAAGAACAGTTACACAAATTGCGAGCATAGATGAATACAGCATAAAGTTAGTAACAGTAATATTCAGGTGCAGAAATGTAATAATTAAGTGTAAAACAACACAATAATGCTCACTTGCATACGTTAAATACCGATTAATATCTGTTAATGCTGTGGTGTTGTTTGATTAGCAGAGAGAAGCAGGTGTGTTTATAGGCTGCTGTCTCTTTAAGACCAAATTCGTGGACCTAATACTGACAAGCATCCAGTTTCTTTCTCAGCTGTTTACGTTCACTTAAGACATAACTGACTGTGTTTACCAGAATACTTGCCAAAACAGGTATTTTAACATAACTTTGTGTGTATGTATCTGTTGACGCGCTGTCTGAATCGCGCCTCTCTCTCTGCATGTGCGCAGCAGCTGAGCGCAGAGAAAATGGCACACAAATCCGATCCGACTTCTCTTTCACATGAATGGTCTGAAATTGCTTGAATGTGTAAATTGGCTAAACAAAACATCATCTACGATCCGTTACACCCCTAACTAAAATAGTTCGCTCATGTCATCATTTACTCATCCTCATCACCATGTGATGTTGTTTTTCCCCATGGAACAGGGCGGTGTGGTATGATCAGTCATCTTACCCCACTTCCTGGCAGCTGGATCCCACCGAGGGGCCCAACCGAGAGCGGAGACGCCTGCAGCGCTGCTACCTGACCATCCCTAACAAATATCTGCTGAAAGACCGACGCAAACTAGACGGTGAGCTTCAAGCACTCGGACTGGAGAAAGCACTTCAAACATCTACTCAACACTTTCTGTTTTCTAGATTATCTACAATGTATTTTCATGGTGCAGTTTATTTACTCAAAGCATAAACAAATCTTTCAAGAACATGGCATTTTTCATCCCAAGATAAGTATGTAAATACATATATAAGTAAATGGAAGTAAATATAAGTAAAAGGAAGTCAGTTACTTAGTAAATAAATAAACTAAGTAAAAAAACTACATTGAATAAGTAATTAAGTAATTAAGTGAAATGAACAAGTATATATGTAATTAAAATAAAAAAAATAAATACATAAATTACTAAGTAAATAAATAAATTACTGAGTAAATAAATAAAATAATAAGTAGATTTATTAGTAAATGAATAAAGTAAACAAATACAGTAAATAAAATTTTACTTTTTTACATTTCGGGATGTGATCTGGATGTGCTTTCTAGATGATCAAACGAGTATAACACTGACACAAAAGTACCAAAACCTGTATGTAACAAAGTCAATGATCGAGAAGGAGGCGGGAACCGGCGAGCATTCAAACACTTTAATAAAATAAACAAACACAAAAGTAAAGTAAAGCGGCAGCCCCTCACAGACGACTGCCGCACACAAAACACAAAATAAAATCCAGGCCTGGTCCTCTCTCGTCCAACACTGTCGTCACTCCTCCTTTTATCCTTCCGGAGCTCCTCCGTGGGACTCGAGACCTGTGAGTGGGGCAGGTGTCGCGCATTAGCATTTACTCCACCGGCCTCGCTCCGTTCCCACGGCTCTCGGCCCATCCCTTCTCGTCAGACTAATACAATCGATATAATTTATGATGATTTCTAAAATGTAAACGGAAAAACACTTTTTGTGATAAAGGTCAGAACTATGATGTTATGATGTAGATTTTGAAGTGCACTATTGTCATAAATTAATCTATTACTGTTCCTACATAATTTGTAACAACAGTGGTAAAATATCCATTTAGGAGTCTTAGACCTTTCCATTTGTCATGATTAGATTAGGATTTATTTGTAATATAGTGAAGTAAACTTAGGCATCCCACTGAGGGGGGACGGGTGACAGTTAAGTGATAATCAGAATAGTATATGAATATGTTAATCGTGCAGTAACTTGGTGTTGCCATCTGATACCATCACCATGATACCACCGCTGTACTGCCTGTACAGGAAGTGGTTGCTGGAATGATGGAACTTTGCCAGAACTTAGAAACTCGTCCACTTTTGATGCTGTTGATGTTATTGGTCTCATGCATGTGGTTTGTCTGTCACAGATGCCATCAAGGCTCCTCTGGCCTTCCTGTTTGAGGACAAAACTCACTCCTCTTCATCGATAGTGAAGGACAAAGCCACCAGTGAGCCCATCAGGTACTGATACTGCACAGCTAGTAACTAGTCTGTTTTGGAGTCACATTGCAGAATTTCAAATAATTTAAAAACCCGAAACATTTTTTTTTTTCTATTTAGGTTTACGAGAAAGTGTGTAAGTGTGGCGCCCTCTAGAGAGACGGCAGGAGAGCTGTTGCTGGGTAAGACTCGTCCACCCTCCATAACATCAGTCTTGTGTTGGCTGTTAACCATCATCAACTGACTGCTAAAATGATCTGCCTTGTTTTACGGGTTTGCAGGAAAATCTGGGATGTACTTTGTCGAGGATAATGTTGCTGAGACACTTGATAACCAAGTAAGTTCTTTTGCTAAACATTAGGAATATACGGTTTTATGTAATAGTACAAATGTATCGTTCATTTATCTTCAACAATCTGAGCTTTAAGTTTTTGTCCATATAGTTTCAGACAAAAAGAAAAAATACATGTAAAATATTTAATTCTCTTGAATTATTAAAAAATATGCTTTACCACCTTATGATTATTATTATTATTATTATTATATAATCCAGTATTATCTTAGTATCATTGATATGCCATTATTATTTTTGTTAATATTTTGAAGTAGATTTAATTTGTATATTTTATGCTTTCATTTTAGTTTTAGTCATTTTGTTGTGTGTTTTTGGAATTCATATTATTATTCATTGTTTTAATGTCTACGTAGTTTGTTTATTTAGTTTATTTTAGTACTTAAACTAAACAAAAATAAGAAATGTAACTTAAAATAAAAAAGGCTAACTTGTATTATGTTGCCACATTTTATTTCAGTTAATGTTTATTTTATTAGTTATTTCATTTTAGTTTTAGTCATTTTGTTGTGTGTTTTTGGAATTCATATTATTATTCATTGTTTTAATGTCTACGTAGTTTTAGTTTATTTAGTTTATTTTAGTACTTAAACTAAACAAAAATAAGAAATGTAACTTAAAATAAAAAAGGCTAACTTGTATTATGTTGCCACATATTTTATTTCAGTTAATGTTTATTTTATTTAGTTTTAGTTAATGATAATAACTCTGATCTAAAGCGATTTTCATTTTGTTCAAGCAAATATAAAAAAAAATTTTGTTTGTTTGTTATTAACTGTGAAGTTACTCATAACATGATATAAGTGTTTGGTCATACCTCCCCTAATAGATATGATGAGGCATATGTGTGTTTTAGAGGTTGATAATAGGGCCTTTTGCACCGCGGGAACCTTTTCATAGTACCTGAACTAATTGTGGAACTATCCACTTTTTGGTGCGTTCGCACCGCAGGAACTAGTAACGGTTTTAGTTCTAGGAACTCCGTTTGGAGGAACTCAATTAGCTCCTACTTCAGAGCAGGGTCTAAAACAGTTCTATAGGAACAAATCAGTGACATAAGTGTATGCTGATTGGCCAAACGCACGCGAAACACCAGCCACCCGGCATTTTTAAAAAGCCATGTTAGCATATTTACTCCACGAACATGGAAAACTGCGATAACGGCATTTACCTGTTGTCTGCAGTGTTGTGTTCTTTTCTCAGCTTCGATGATATGTAACACTGCAAGTTGTCATAAAAAAATTTATCTCTTAGCCCACCTTTGTGCTCTTGCAATCGCGTAAATTGTGTGTTTACATCTCCATCTTCATTATAAAAAGACATGGTTGTCGGCCGCTTCAGAGTTCCTGCTGCCGGTGTGAATGCAACCAGGAAAACGGCCCGAGGGAGAAATTGGTTCTCTAGAAACTACCCTGCTGGCTAGTTCCTAGAACTACGCTGTGCGAAAGCCCCTAATGTGTTTTCTCACCAGAGTCCTCATGGAGAGACGGAACCGGCCTCCTTCTCCTGGACGTATGAGGAGATAAAGGAGGTTCACAAGCGCTGGTGGCAGCTCAGAGACAATGCTATGGAGATCTTCCTCACCAATGGCAGGACGCTGCTGCTCGCGTTTGATACCACCAAGGTAATGACATCACTGTCAAACACATGAGCGTTAGCTGCTGAATGATTTATTAAATTCTGCCCAACTCTAACTTCCTGTTGATCCACTCTCTGGTCTCCGTCTCAGTACCGTGACGACGTCTACCACAACATCCTGAGCTCAGAGCTGCCCAACCTGCTGGAGTACGGGAACATCTCTGCCCTCACGCACCTGTGGAGCTCAGGACAGATAACCAACTTCGAGTACCTCACCCACCTCAACAAGCACGCGGGCCGCTCCTTCAATGACCTCATGCAGTATCCCGTCTTCCCCTTCATCCTGCGAGACTATACCAGTGAGACGCTGGACCTGCAGGACACCTCCATTTACAGGCCAGAACCAAAATTATTATTTTATTTGTGTGGTGTTTCTCGGTAATGATAGCCTGATATATATACCTGATGTTTATTAGTTCCATTCTTTTTTTCATTATAAATATTTAATATTTAAATAATATAAAATATTATAAAAAACTGATACATGTAATATTTTAGATTGTGTTTGATTTTTTCACCACATATAAATATTTAATATTTAAAATATCTAAAATTTGATTAAAAATTTGTAAACACACACACATATACAGTGGGTACGGAAAGTATTCAGACCCCCTTAAATTTTTCACTCTTTGTTATATTGCAGCCATTTGCTAAAATCATTT